ATCCCCCTTATTACATCATTGCCCCCTCTTGGGTCCTATGACCTTTCTTTGCCCAGCCAAGAACTATCGGCTGGGGCATGGCTGCATCAAGATAGGGGTGGCTCAACGGCTTTCGGTTGATAGATAAGTAAACCCTAGCAAGGGCTAAGTGTGAAGATAGGGGTCGTGGTGCGAAGAGAGGGGTGCTCAGCGGCTGATAGCGAAGAAGAGCAGAAGAGAAGAGAAGAAGAAGAACCTAGGGTTATCGAGGGTGAGGTTTTAAAAAAAGTTCCAATTTCAAGTTCCGACCTTTTGGTTGGAACTTGTTTTACACGCGAAGATGGGAAGATGAACAATAAAATGAAGTTCCCTATTGAACTTCCCTTTTTTATCAAACATAGAATATGAACAGTATTGGGTAAGTTCCCATTTTCAGAAATACACTTCTTGTTAACAAGCCTTTAGAGTGATATGAATCTTATTTAATGAAAATAAGACGGCAGCTAGTGAGGCCTCATGAGACCACTTTGTATACATGGTCTTGAATTTGATACACATGTGGTCTAACTGAGGGGGACTTTTGTATACGGATGATTTCTATCATGTGAAATTACTGGACCAGGGAAAGGTATTGGGGCACTGGTGATTAGGGTGGCAGATGCCTCAAAGTCAATATCCATGATCATCCGAGATAAATAAGAAAACCTTTAAGACCGGTTTTGGGCACATGGGTTTTGGGGGATGAATTTTTAATATCTCAGATAATCCGGACCCGGTTTCTATGCGGCCAAGCCCGCATATGTAGAAATACGGGCTTCTTAATAAATCTAATTTTGTGGTGGATTTTAAGAATTAATTTTTAAGGACATGCAATCTCTAACATGGAGATCATGAATATAAAAATATAAATAAATTTTAAAAACTAGAAATAGTAATTCTAGTAAGAAAACGTTTGGACAGTTAGTTTCCAATGTTTTTAGATGGAACACCTACTTGGAACCATCATTAAGATGGATTCTTTAAACTTTTCGGACCGCATAGGTAGAAATGCGGTCCAGCCCGCATGAAAAAATTTTCCGTACTGAAATACACCGCTTGATTTTCTCAATGGCTAGGATATTAAAATTATATGGAAATTAAATCGTGGAAAATTACTTAACTTTTATACAATTTCATTTCCACACCAAAACTTATTTTATTCTTTTTTTGTTTTTAATTTCGTTGGCCCCCTCAATCCGAAACTTCACATTTGATAAATATGAAAATTTTAAAGAGAGAAAGCCTATGAAATTTTTTAAAAAGAAACTATCTCAAAAATTTTAAAGAGAGAAACTATCCCAAAATTTTAACTTTTAGAGAGACAAAGTATGTTAAAAATCAAGAGAGAGAGAGAAACTATATCAAATTTTAGAAAGAGAAAGTACCTAATAATTTTTAGAAAGAAAAACTATCTCGAAATTTTTAGAGATAGAAACTATCTCAAATTTTAAATTTTGGTGAGAGAAAACATATTAAAATTTTAGAGATAAAAACCACATCGAGTTTTAGAAACTAGAGATAAAAACCATATCGAGTTTTAGAAACTATAGTTTAGGGTCTTGGCTCTATATTAAACTTTTTTTTTTTTAATATTTTCAATTGTTTTGAAAATATTTAAAAGTATTTTGGCCTAAATACTCATGTTTACTTCTTTTCTTTCTTTTTTTTTGTCTTTTTTGGGTTATTTCTAAAATACTCCTAAGCACAAATTGATTTTTTTAAATCCATTTGTTCACTACTTTTTTAATTTCTTATTCAATTACACTTTAAACATACTTTCTATTTTTTTGGATATTTTTTGAGGATTTGTTTAACCCCTTTTTGCACCGCTAGGACCTGCCTGGGCAGGTTACCCGAAACAGTTCCGGCTTACTCGGATTAGGTTCCTGGTTCGTGGTTTCTAACACTGGTGCATAGAGCTGCCCCAATTAAAAGCTCTACCGGCCAATTCTACTTAGATTTTCTTTAGAAACAAAAAGAGTGCAAATACTTGTGACTTTCTAAGTTGGTTCCCTGTTGATCTCTACAAAAACCAATAAGTAGCCAGTTAGGTAGGTTTATTCTTTATTTCGTAACAAAACACGCAGTAAAAGTTGTACCTGTCCACTCCAATTTTTCTCTTTAGAAACAAAGAGAGTGCAAATAATTGTCACTTTCTAAGTCTGGTACTCGTTTGCTTCCTTTTCTTCAATACAAACTAATAACTAGGCAGTTAGGTAGGTAAACCTCTCCATTAATCACTATCTCATGCTCCTGCTTAAAGGAGGACGTAGTGCTTGTCAATATCCTGTGCATTGTTGAAAAGCGCGTAGAAGAAAACTAGTCTCCTATTTGAGTTGAACTCGAAGATTTAATATGTGAAAAGAAAGTACATATTGTCTATCAGATCAATTTGGAAGGTGTATATTGTATTGGTATATATGAGAACGATAAATACAATATCTTATATTTTATGGTAAGTTTAGGTATATTATAGATGTAGTATAGGTGTTTGTGGTTTATTTTTATTATTATCATTTGTATTTGTTTATTTAAGACAAGCTTCTGTATTCATATTGATGAATAGATATTGAATCTCTTAAGAGAAACCTGATACCCTTCATAGAAAATCGCGTAGCAAAAACTAGTCTCCTATCTGAGTTGTGCTCCAAGATTTTATGGCCAACTCCCTTATCAAAATCGTACTCCTGAATAACCATTTGGGCTCCTGGAAAGCCCGTAGGCTTCTTCCATATTAAGAAAATATGATGTTTAAACCCTCGTTATATTTCTTATTGTTCAAATTACAATATTTATTTCTTTTCGTTTCTAAAGACCTCGTCATTAAATGGAATTCGAGATACCGCATTTAATCTACTTGTAAGGTTCATAAAATGAAAAAGTAGATTCTCTAACCGTCATAAGGTTTCCCTTCAACAATTCATCATTTGCCCAAATCATCATCATCATCAGAGCCTTTTCTCAAATAATTGGAGTCGGTTATACAAATCATGGTCTGTCGTTATGCTCTATTAAATGTGATACCCTTAGTAAGGTCATAAGTACCAGTATCTTGTATCACTGCTTCCAGTTATGTCTTTTTGGGCTTACCCTTTACCTTTTTTTAGTCTTCCACTTGAACTAACTCACATCTCCTAACAAGTGTTGTACTGTTAGAAGGAATAACATATTACATAATTTGAGTGATAGGATATAATTAATATGGGTGATCTATCTTTGGAAAAAAAAAATTTGTGTTAGATTGATCTTTTACGGGGATGTATTTAACCCCAAATTTTATGGACTATCTTATTGTTACCATCCGAAGAATTCGAAAGGAAAAAAAAAGGAGATTTTGATTTTTTGAAAAGCTAGATCTATTCATGCGCTTAACAAGTTCATAAAAGACTATTTTTAAGGGTTATTTAAGGATATTGTCTGATAGAGAGTCGAAATAAATGCATATGTTGAATCAGGGAGGAATGAAATCGCCTTCAGATCCCAAATTGTTAGGTAGAGTAATAGCCAAAATCGCCAACCTTTTTTTTTCTTTTTCTGAAAAAGCACAATTACTTCATTAATAATTGAAAAGCATTACAAATGTACATAGGTATAACAGAAAAAGATATTCGGCAATCAACAAATCACCCAAATAAATTCCTTTATTTACGGGACCGACTGCAATTGCATTTGCCTCCCTGCATACATGCTGGAAAGTTACTGTTAATTGGCTACTAATATCCATAACTTCCATCAACTTGCTCCTTAAATTTCATCGTGATCTCGGTTCGTTTGTGTACCAATTCATAATATTTATAGAATCCTCTTCAACAATACACTGGAAGGCCTAAATTGCTTAAACAAAATATGCATGTCTCTAAGCACAGCCACCATCTCCGTACAATTCGCAGTTGCCACCCCACAGGCACCACCATAACACGAGAACTTCGCCATTAGAATTTCTAATTATCCCACCATATCCTGCTGCACCCAGATTTCCATGCGAACTCCTTGTTTTCCCAAAAGATAGAAGGTATTATACAGTTTTTGATAAAAAGGAAAAATAGGTTTTTTAGAGAAAAAAAAAAACTATAATGATCTCTATATAAAAAGGCCAATAAAAATAAAATACTGAAACTTCAACTACAATGATCTCTGTACAAGAGGGTCAATAAAAATATAATACTGAAACTTCGAAGTCCTTTTGAGGTCATGCGAAGGGGTGTCAAGGAGGGAGATAGAACTCGAGGGATAGTATCGCTAGAATTAGTGAATATGTTACAAGAAAGGATTGATTCATTCTCGCCTAAATTTGGGAAAACCAATCGTAAAGAACGCTAAAAAAAATGAAAGATGGGGTAGAAAATCTCTAGAAAAAGATCCAGGTGATTGGAAAGTGGTCGAAAAAGGAGTAAAACCCATAGTTTCATGAGTCGGGATATTTTTTTTTCTTTTTTGTAATATTTGATTTCTAATTTTTTTGGATTTTTAACATTTTTTTAAATTTTATTGGGGTTTTTTTTTTTTATAGGGAACAATTGGTACCAAACTCTCCCCCAAACTCATAGTTAGGCGGAGTGGGCGCGGTTGAGTCATAGGCACTGCTTGAAACTTAAGATTATAGTTTTTGTTGAGATTATACATTTCTACTTGCCGAGACCGTTGATGTACCCGTTTGGGATGGACCACATAATTATATATCATTGAAATGTTTTGTTCTATTTATCTTTGTAGTGACCTGTTGTGGATCTACCCAAATATATACACAATAATGGATGGAATTCCAGTAATTGGGTGTCCTTATTACGTAGAAAAATTGGGAAAGGGGACCACTATATCTATCAGCCCACTAGGTATTTTCGGTACATTTTCTATTAATTTATTAGGAACATGCTCCGTTACCAAATACTTAGGTCCAAATCGAAAGCAGGCAACTTTAAATACCCCTCAATCAAAAAAGAAAATGTTATGTGCCCAACAAGCAAAGGATCAGTCCAGGGAAAATGGCATTCAACCCTGGTCCTCTCACACAATGGCCTTGGGAGAAGCTTGGAAAGTTCAAGGTATTCCTCTCTCTCTCCCTTGTACAAAACGCACTGGTATATACTTTAACTCTCTCTTTTCATATATATATATATATATATATATTTTTGGGGGTAATTAATAGGGAAAATAGGCCCTTACCCATTTTTGTTATGCAAGTGCGAGGCTCTAAACAATTAAATTAGGGCGCATCTCAAAAATTTGACTAGAATAGGTTGTTTTGATATCCAAGTATCCTCAAATCGATCATCTCGACCTCAAGATGCATGTACATGAGAAAAAAAAAATAGATTTTGCATCTTGTAATGCATTTTTGGACAGTTAATTTTCAAGATTTTCAAATTTTCATAGATCTGCTCTATCTACACTATTTTTGAAGCTTTAAATTTTATAATTAGAGATAAAAATATATTTTAAGACTATCACAAATACTTCCAGTATTGAAACGATATTTCTCAACACTATTTGAAGGTGTGCTTTACTTTAATTTTTAGCGCCTTAGCTCAATACAAACCGCACCATCGTCAAAATATACATGTAGAAAATAGTTCAAACTTGATAAAGAGTGAGAGAGAAATAGAGAGTGAGAGGGAGCTGTGCTAAGGAGATCACATGAGCAAGGAGAGTGTACAGTTAATAAAGATTTGGTTAAAACTAAAAGGCATGGCTGACAATTGTTTTTATCTCGAATAGATTATCTTATTTGCAATTAATTTTGGCTATTCTGACTTAATTTATGTGAGTTTCAGCAAATTATTCTGAATAAATTAAAAATAATTTTCAAAAAGATAAGGTCATATATAAAAATGCCTATAAGTTTATCTCAAACAATTTTATAATAGACAATGCCAAACAACAGACGACTCATTATAGAAAATTATATTTAAATAGTAAATTATTAGTTGTAGTGTGTGCATCTATACATGCCCTAAAAAATACAATGATAGCTTTATATTTCTACGTCATAGTAGAGTATGCTTCCTTTCATGTTGCTTTTAAATGCCATAACATAAGATTTGAATCTCAATGAGTGAACCAGAAAAATTCGGCCCAAAAACATATTCAAATATTGACCCAAAAACATGTAAGTTACCTAAAAATAGCTCCAATCTTAGTAAGTAAAATGATGAGCAATTATTAAGAAATTGGTAATAGATATGTAACATAGCGCCATTAAGTTGATAATAATATTTTGTTATTCTAATTTTTATATATATTAGAAAGGATTGTCAACATTGTGACTTATAAAAAATTTAACATATTTGTCTTTCGTTGTCAATATATTTACCAAGTGCAAAAAATGTATTCCATGATAAATAATACATTAATTTAATATATTAAAGCGTCCATAATTATCAAAAATATCCTTGATAAAACTGCTTAACCATAATTTTCACTAACGCAGCTAAGTAGCCATGTCTAATCTTTATGTTTACTTGGATTTTTGGGCAATCGTTGAGGTGCACTTTGATTATCTTATAAGCCGGACCATAATCTCTTTTTTCCTTTTTCTTTTTTCGTGATAATGAAAGGCATTTTTCTTTGACCAAAGGCCTAAATAGTGCCTATCAGGGACATTTTCTTGATAAGTGGGGTTTCATTTTGTCACCTGTTCATGAATAGTAACATGTCAAACCAATCGGGTACAAGTATGGTCTAATTTTACTATAACAACCGATAAAAAAAGAGATGTCTAAAATGACCATTAAAAGTGGTGTTTTTAGACTCGAGTCCACACATACACGTACTCACCGCCTTGGCGAATAGAGTTACTCCGTTTACCCCTATATAACACAGGGCAAGCTTTTTATGTTTCTCCTTATCTAATCGTCCATTCTTAATAGAGAGTCAATCACAATGTCAAGTAGCTACATTATTTTATTTTAAATTTTTTTATATAAATTATTTTGACACCAAAGTTTAGGCGTCCAATACTCTATTAAACTCACAATTTAAAATATATAAAAACAATAACTCCAATAAAATGACTAAAATACCCTTGAAAGATTCAAAAGGTATTTTTGTCATTACATTTTATTGAAAAATTATTTTTAATATTTTTTAAAGGTGCACCCCAATGATAAGATAACACGTACCAAATTTCATATTCATACAATTTGTATTAAAAAATTTAAAAATAAAATACTCTAACGCGTCGGATTTAAGATCAAATGGTAAGTGGTTCACTTGATCAAAATTGGACGGCTGGATGGTAGGGGAAGCATAGATCTTCGACGATGTCGGGGAAGTATAGAAACCTTTCCCTATAACACAAGGTATATAAGAAGAAAAACAAAAGAAAACATTACAAACTATTTAAAAAATAAAATTGACCTGTAAAAATTTTTATATGTAGTTTGGATTTTTTGTACAAGATTGGTGAATTTTTCTTACCATATACCCTACTTTTATATTTTCTTTTTTAAAAATGACAGCAACTATAAATCAATTTTTTAATCCATATTTTAACTATAGTTTCAAGCTTATTTGGATATTTTTTGTCTTTTTTCGGCTTTGTTTCACCATTAGTATTTTATTTTATTTTTTAAAAAAAATCAAGAGCTTCGTGGCCCTCTACAATACCCGAGCCAGCCCACTCAGACTCGCTCGAATAATTCGCATTGGGACAGGGCCCAGTAGCTGGCTCTAGGCGACTCTAAAAGCATTATTCTAAGAGCTTTTATCATTTAGTTATTACAGTAAGAGGTTCCGAGAAGTCTGATATGTCGATGTTTCTTTTTTCTTTTCTTCTTTTTGTTTCTTTTGCAAAGTACGTGGTTCTGGCTCCATGGATGCTGCAAAGCTGCTATTGCTTCTTCTTAGGAGGAGAGAAGAACAGGGATTTGTCCAATTTCCTCATGCTTCCACTCATGTTATCCAGACTGGCTCATGCCCAGTTATGGATCTCTCTCTCCCGCTTCCAAACTGCGAGGAGCAAACATATAATACTCAGCAAGGGCCTTGAGTTTCAGCAGGTTGACAGAGAAAGAAACTGGTAAGCAAACATTTCAAATTCAATATCATGGTTTTAGTATCTGTTTATGGATTGTATACAATGACACCATTTTATCTTTGTTACAAGGATTTTAAATTGGATGGCTTCGGCTAGCCACGAAGTCTGAGAAATTATTATTTTTTGAACTTTAAGTCTTTTCAATGACACTCTTATAATCAACCAATTTAAAATCCAAGGGATAAGAATAATTGTAACCTCCTTATTTCTCTAAGTAAATAGTTTCATTGTATATTTTCCTATCTGCTTATTAAAAAATTCTCCATATACAAAACAATAGTATAGAAGTGTCTAAAATTGTTGAGTACAATGATAAATTACTCGATAATAAAAGAATTTGGTACTCCATCTTGCATACTGTGCCAATGGCCTGGATTATCCAAGCATTGTTTCAATGGCAGGATGGGCGGCCGCTTGGGTTAGCATTAAAAAACGTATGCGCCCCATGGAAATTAATGCCATGTCAGGCTTGTGTGCTGCCAAGAGGGAATGTTTAGCGAAGTACGCGAGATGGGCAACTAATGTCTTCCTCTCTCTCTAAAATGTTTTCATCCTCTAACTCTCTTTAACTCTCTCTTCCCCACCCAAACCAATTGCCTTTCCACCTGGCCTCCCCTATCTCTCTCTCCAAGAACCCTCTATTTCTCTCTAAAACTCTCTCTCCTCCACCCAAACCAATTGACTTGCCACTTAGCCTCTCTGCATTCTCTCTCCAAGCACCCTCTATTTCTCTCTAACTCTCTCTCTCCCCCACAACCTCGACTTTCTACTTGACGTCTCTGCACTCTCTTTCCAACTAGAATTATCTGAAATTTAAAACGTGTGTACATCTTAGTGAGGCGCATCAAATAAAAATATGAAAAAAAATAATTCTTAAAATATTAATTGACCAAAATACCCCAATAAATTTTCAGGGGTATTTTGGTCAATTTATATTTTACCAATTATT